ATGGCCATGAGCATGCCACTGCACTGCAGCCTGGGCAACAGAGTGAAACCAACACACACACACACACACACACACACACACACACACACACAAATAGTCAGGAACTTGATAAACAGATTTTATATCACTGTTCCCAACTGCCCACTCATTTCACTCCTTCCCCACCGAGGAATATAATTCCTTGCAACTATCATTGGACTGGTCACATTCTGCTTTGACCAATGAAACAAAAGCAGATGTAACATGTACCGCATATGAGCAGAAATTTTAAACAAAAATGTGTGATTTGGTTTGGCCTCTGGGACATTTGCAATCTACCATAAGAACATGTCCCAGAATGAGAAGACATGTGGAGCTGACCTGTAGTAGACTAACAACCTAGAGCACTCATTCAATAGGCCTCATGTAATGTGTATGTTTATTGTTGGAAGTCACTGTGCCTTTTGAGCATTTACTTCCTGTGGCAAACACTGACTAACACAGGACTAAGTAAGTTTTTCTGGTACAATAACATTAAAATATTTTCATAACTAAATTTCAGTGTATGTGAAATTATAAGTTGTAATACACATATAAATACTACTTTAGCTTCTGCTTTTTTCCATTTAACATTATTATATAAATTATGAGGTTCAAGACCCGCCTGGGCAGCAAGACCTCATCTCTACAGTAAATCAATAAATCAGCCGGGTGTGGTAGCGCATGCCTGTAATTCCGGCTGCTCGGAAGGCTGAGACGGAAGGATCGCCGGAGCCCAGCAGGTCGAGGCTGCGGTGGCCGGGAGCGGCCACTGCACTCCAGTCTGGGTGACGACAGAGTGAGACTCTAACTCAAAAAAAAAAAAAAAAAAATGAATATTGTTAGACTAAAAAATTACTATCCTCAGTGTCTGCATTGAAGACAGTTAACAATTCAAAATTTACATTTTGATATTTAAAATACCATAGAAATAAGCATGGCATGGATTCCAAATACAAGTAAGTCTACAGAACCCAGGAAAGAGTCTACATAAATCTACAGTTCAAATATAGCAGGCCTTGATGTCTTCCACTTAAAAAAAAAGTATTAACTTTTGTAGTACAAAAATACCTTTAAAAAAACCCCCAATACTATTTACATCTACATATTTGCCACCAGTGGACTTCAAAATGTAGTCATCTAAGAAAAAATGAGCAATAAACTAAAGGTTTTACTGCATTCTAGTTACTATTCTGTATGGAAAACTGGAAGGTTTTTAAATTATTTCAGCTCATATCAAACATACTTGACTTGTAAAAGTTCACTTGTTTGAAATATTTTTTCACATGACTAAGAGTGAACTGCATGGATACTTATCACCTGCAATTCACAAACTGATCTACTCCATGCTTAGCTTCTGTTCCCACCTCTCCACCAAAATAGCTCTATGGATCATGAACACCATGCTGTCAGAACATGGTCATTTTTCTACCCTTGTTATCCTGATCTCTCAAGCAGCACTACATACAACCAACTCACTGCTCCCTCCCTCCTCCTACAAACACTCTCCTGAGTTTACTCCTCTCACTGGTTTATCTTTCCTAGCTTCCTCAACTTGCTTCCTCTCCTTGAAATGCCCTGTGAATGCCGGTGTTCTTCAGACTGAGTCCAAGGGCCCTCCTCTCTTCCTACTCCCCATTCCCTCCCCTCCTTATGTAACCTTAACCATTTCCAAAGTTCTAAATATCACTTATAAGCTGGTACTTCCTAAATGATCTCCACACAGACCTCTCTTTGAAATTCGACATAGACATCTCATAGGCTTTTCATATTTAACATGGCCAACAGAAGCAAACTCTTGATCCACCCACCTAAACCTGCTTCATCTCCAAACTCATCCTCTAGTTTTTCTACTCTCAGAACATGGTATATAACCTCCATCAATTCAGTTATTCACATTATACCTTAAAGTCATTCATTTTACTTCCTTCTCCCTTAACCCATTACATCCAGTACACCAACAAAACTTGTCAACTATACCTCTGCACAGCTCAAATTTATCTACTTCTTGCCAGCTCCACTATCACCATCAACCCAGACTAACCTACTAAAAACCTTGCATAAATTTCTGTAGCATCCTTCTAACTCATCTTCAAGTTTCTCTTTCTAACTGCCTACATACTCTGCTATCTTTACGTAAGAGCCAAAGAGTAATCTTTTGGGAATATACAAAAGATCTTACCACTCTCCTGCTTAAAACTTTTCACTGGCCTCCAAAGCACTTTCTCTATAGCATGGTCTACAAGGACGCTTACCTATACATTTCGTTAACCTTATCTCTTACCATCCTCCCTCTCTACTCATTTACCACACTTGTCAAATATGTCAAGTTCTTTTCAGACTCAGGACCTTTATACACACTACTGCTATTGCTTGAAGTATCTTACACACACTTCCTCTTTTCCTCTTCTCCCCTTTCAATCAGCTTTTACTAATCTTTCAGCTATATAGTCACCCCTAGAAATTGCCAGAGGAATTATTTTCTTCATCACCATCAGTTCTTTAAATTGGATATGAATACAGTTCAGAATATTTCGAAGTATACATTCTGAACATCTTTGAGAACATTTCTTAAAATCAAGAAATTGATAAAATTGTAGAATCCTACCATAACTAGAAGGAAACACAGAGATCATCTATTGTCCTCACATTACATATGAAAAAAAATCCAAGCAAAGTAAATAATTGTCCTGTTCTACAAGGTACAACACAGCCTTCTGACCCTATATTCAGAATCTTGGTCAGCACTCTTCCAATTATGTTTATTACATTAAGATAATCCCAGTCACAGAAAAAAAAAAAATCCTAAAATTCATATGGAACCAAAAAGGACCCCAATAGCTAAAACAATCTTGAGAAAGAAGATCAAAGCTGGAGGTGTTATACATCCTGACTTCAAAAGCTATAGTAATCAAAACAATATGGCACTAGTGTAAAGACAGACATATAGACCAATGAGACAAAATAGAGAGTACAGAAATAAACCCACAAATAGACAGTCAAATGATCTTCAACAAGTGGTGCCAAGACTATACAACAGGAAAACAATAATGACTACAGCAAATGATGTTGAAAAAACTGAATACCCACATGCAAAAAAAAGAAAAGAAAAGAAATTGAACCCTTATCTTACACTATACACAAAAATCAACTCAAAATGGATTAAATACTTCAGAAAGCTCCTACCAAAAAAAATAGGAGAAAGCTTCACAATATTGGTCCTGGCAACAATTTCTTCAATATGCCACCAAAGGCACAGGCAACAAAAGCAAAATTAGACAAATGGAACTCAAACTAAAAAGCTTCTGCACAGCGAATAAAATAATCAACAGAGATAAAAAAGTAACCTATGAAACGGGAGAAAACATTTGTAAATCACATAACTGATAAGCAGTTAAATATGGGGTTAATATCCAAAAAATATAAGCAAGGCATACAACTAAATAACCAAAAAAATAATTTTTGGGTATTTACTCAAAATATTGAAAAGAGAATCTTGAAGAGACATTTGCATGCCTGTATTCAATGTAGCATTAGTCACAATAGTCAAGAGATGGAAATAACTAGATATCCATCAATGGATGAATGGATAAAGAAAATATGGTATACACTTACAATTAATCCTAGGATATGCTACAACATGCATGGATCTTGAAGACCTTATATACTTAGTGAATATAAGGACAAACACGGCAAGATTCTACTTAGATGAGGTAATCAAAATAGTCAAACTCATACATGATAGTTCCCAGAGAAGGAGGAAATGGGAACTTACTATTCAACAAGTATAGAGTTTCAATCCCACAGATGAAAAAGCTCCAAATCTCTGCTGTGCAAAAATGTGCATATAGCTAACAATATTTGTTAGAAGGGTAGATTTCATGCTATATGTTTTCTGCCACAATAAAAAAAGAACAAAAATAATAATAATTCCAGTCATTCATCCAAACCTAATGATACTTCTCATTAGTTGAACAGCAATTGCATTGACAATTGTTTAGGCCTTAACAGCGACGGAGGGCAACTCAGTTTTCTCAGCCTGGTTAGGGACACTTAAACTCTACTATATTATATTGTAAAACAGCAACAAGAATGTTAAGCCTCAAAGGCAGAAGCTAGTTTTTGCTCTAGATATTTGTCCAACTTCTTTTCAAACAGTTTACACTATATCAAACAACATTATACTTTAAATATAATAGTAAGAATTGCATTTCATTTATTACTCATATTTATATACAAAACTGTAAAACTAAAAAATGTCATCAAATAACATAGCTTAAATGTGTATTACTTACTGTATGCATGTAGCTCAGCATTTTTTAGTGCTTTACAATACTAAAATTAACTTCACAACCTGGTAATAGGCACAACCCACAATTTGAGAAACACCGTGCTAGCATTGCAACATCAACACAGGCTACATAATGTAATACTTCCAAAGTACATAGCAAAATATCTGTAACAATGACTTTCAGATGTTGTTCACAAATATTTTCTCTCTTTGCTCTCTAGGTATAGCTGCCTGAAGACTGCTCTTTTCTCTAGGAAGTGAAAGGAAAGATTAAAATCTGCCTTCCATTCTCAGAATTCTACTGACCCCCAAGGTATGCACTACAGATAAAACAATTTCTGGAGAAATAGTTCTAGCATACAATTGGAATTTCTCCTGAAATATTACTGATAACATTATAGCTAAAGTATGGTCAAATTAGAAAGGTTACATGGTAATAAGACCCATGTATTCTCCCTTAAGCAACATAAAGCAGATTAGGTATTATTTTAAACATCAGCAGAAAAAGCATAACTATAAAATAAAATAATATCTGAGCTATTTTTAAAATAAACCTTAAGTTATACTGAAGAAATACAAATGTACTCAGAGTTCCTTCTCAACACTCCCTCCTCGTATGTTATTTTTAATATCCTCCCTCCTGCCATATCTCCACAAATTTTTTGTTTACCATCCTTCCAACTTTACTTACCGTTTTACGATGGGAAGAAAGAACAGATGCCTCTAAAATGGACTCCAAATCTCCTTGGTGGTTGTCATTATCACCTCCCCTTGTACCATCAAGTTGGTGCCCTTTTCTGAGCCTTATGTCTGGCTCTGGAGTCCTACTGCACCCCAATCGGTTTTCTGCTGGCTCGTTCATGGGACACCCAAGACTTTAGTACAAAGCGATCTTTCTGTTCTTTCTTCTTGGGAGAATAAACTTTCAGGATAGTGAGATGACCCTAAGGAGAAGAAAGTTTTGAAAAAATATATTTTGAATAACTCTGCTAAATGAGTGCTGGGGAAAACATCAGCTTTATCATTATATATTCAAAAAACACAACATTCACCAATCATTAATAATAATAAAAGAATAGTGTATTTAAAAAAACAAACAAACCTCTATTTGCTGATAGGGAAGACCACCAAAATCTTTCTTAAATGAAAAAAAGAGGATGCAAGACAACATGTATAATATGTTCCCATTTATGTTACAAAAATATTAACTATGTGTAGAGGTGTGTGTGTGTATGTATGTGTGTGTGTGTGTGTGTGTGTGTGTGTGTGTGTGTATATATATATATATATATGTTAGAAAGGCTACTGGAAAATATTCAAATCATGCTCTTAATATATAAGTACACAGGAAAAACCTAAGGTCTTAAGTGAGAAAAATACTTTACACTTTGTACTGTCTGCATTTTTTTAACCATATAACATATTACTTTTCCAATTAAAAACATATAAAGAATATATACAATTAGAATTTAGAATTAGAAATTAGAATAGGATATATGTAAGTTTATACCTTACAGTTAGGTTTTACATATTCAATTTCATTTAAACATCACAATGACTCTATTGGTTAATTTTATTTTTATTTCACAGATAAGGAAACCAACATTCACCAAAAATTTGTAAGACAAAGTCTGAATTTATACAGCACATATTATTGGTAATTTTTGTATTCAAAATGCTTTGTCTGACTTTTCAACATTTTTTAGTTGTTTTTTTTTTTTTCTTTTAGAATACTGGTGCATTTTTTATTAAAGAAGAGAGTAAAGCTTTTGTAAATATATTTCTCTCACATATACTTCAAAGGTGACGCTGGTCAGCCGCTTCAGAGCTGGGGAGCAAACAGGCCGGCTTTTCGTTGTTTTGAACTCTAACTAGACTCCTCTGGAAGAAACTCAGGACCAGAGCATATTTTTATATCCATGTGGATTCTCAGAAAGTACTATGCACATAAATGTTTAATAAATACTACATGATAAAAAATATTTCAATTTTCTTTCTTTTGTTTTGAGTCAGAGTCTCACTCTGTTGCCCAAGCTGGAGTACAGTGGCATGCTCATGGCTACCACAGCCCCAACCTGCTGGGCTCAGGCGATCCTTCTGCCTCAGCCTTCCAAGTAGCCAACACTACAGGTGTGCGCTACCACGCCTGGCTAAATTTTTGATTAATTGTAGACATAAGGTCTCACCAAGTTGCCTAGGCTGGTCTTGAACCACTGAGCTCAGGCAATCCTCTCACCTCTGCCTCCCAAAGCGCTGGAATTACAGGTTTGAGCCACCGCACTCAGCCTTAATTTTTAATTTTAAAGATGTGGGGTATAACTCAGGGTTAGGTATACAAATGTTCATTATGCAGGTATCCATGTTGATGAGGTGTTCAATTTTCTTGAGTGGTAAAACATTTTCAGAAATCATCTCTAAACAAGACTGGCAAGTAAATTACCTAAAAGTCCAATCTTCTCAAGTCCTTGGCACTCTACCTCTTAACTCATGGTACACAAGCTTATTTTAAACAATTAGTTCATATTCAAATAAGGATTATCACAGCCAATCCAACCAGAAATACCAAAACAAGAAGAGACTGGCAAAGTGGGAGGGTCTAGATACCATAAAAAGGAGACAATGGGGTATTTAGTGTTCATATATATGAATACACAGACTAAGAATTAGTCGAAGAAATTAGAATTAGACTAAGGATTAGCCAGCCATTAGTTTCAAAATCATATGTTTGCTGCAGGATTTCTCTAAGGGCTTTCAACATTTATGGAAAAGGCACAAATACAAATCTTTAAGTATCACCAATGTGGGCATGTATTATCATTCAAGGGCCTAAACAAACACATTGCTACTGAGAATGTAAACTATGCCATGAATGTCCATTTCTGAAAGAGAAAGCAATACTAATATTTTATATTTAATTATTTACAACTTAAAAAAGCTATTTCACATTCACCATTTCATTCTGTTTCAGGAAAGAGGCAGCTAACATTTACTGAGGATCAACAAAGATAAATTCTATATCAGAGAATTTACGTGTTATCACACATAATCCTTAAATATAGCTCTCTGAGGTATTATTATCCTCCATTCATCGGATGTGGAAACTGAGGATCAGAGATTAAATAACCTATTCAAAATCATCGGGATACAAACAGGAGCAGCTGGGATTTATATCCAGGTCTTTCTGGACCTCATGAAATTTATGTGCTTTCCTCTGCCCTACAAAATTAAGACTGGAGTGAAAAAAGATAAGAAGCTGAATTCTAAAATCAACTGATCTACATCACAAGTAAACTGTAGAGTCAAGATCTTCATTCTCAAACCTTAGCAAGTAGAATAAAACTAAGTAAGATAGAGGGAAGAGACAGAGACAGAGAGAGACAGAAAGAAGGGAGGGTTGAGGAGGGAGAGAGAGAGAGAGAGAGGGAGGGAGGGAGTAAGGGAGGGAGAGGGAAGAAAGAGAGAGAAAGAGAAATTTAATTATATTCACCACCCTACATGTATTAAAGCAGGAAGGTCCATCAATATCATTTCTTCTTTTTTTTTTTCCTGTCACCCAGACTTGAGTGCAGTGGCCATTCCCGGTCCCTGCAGCCTCGACCTGCTGGGCTCCGGCAGCGATCCTTCTGCCTCACCCTGCCAAGTAGCCAGAATTACAGGCATGCACTACCATGCCCAGCTGATTTTTTTATTTATTGTAGAGATGAGGTCTCGCCAAGTTGCCCAGGCAGGTCTCGAACCCGCAGGCTCAGGCAATCCACTCACCTCAGCCTCCCAAAGCACGGGATTACAGGCTGAGCCACCGAGCCCGGCTCAATATAGTTTCAACAAAAGAATTGTCAAAGGAAACAGCATTTATGGCAACCCTCAGGTACACACAAATTTCACAAAACAGAACACCACAACTCTAGAACATTCTAGAGAACTGAAATTTACTATATATCTGACTTTATTTGCATTCTACCCTCTGAAAAAATGACATCCTACTAGAATGCAACACTCTGAAATAAAAAGCAAATGAGTCTAAAGTAATCAGGGTTAGGAAACATATCCTTTATAACCTGTATTATTTAACTCCACCTGGAGGTTTTAATTAAATGAGATAATGTAAAAATTGAAAAGAAAAAGGTAAAACTATAACTATTTGCAGATAATTTGATTCCTTTATCTATAAAACCCAGAAAAATTAACTGAAAAAAAATGTATAAATAAGAAAATTCACTGATATGATTAACTATAAAATTATTAAAGTGGGTATATCTAGCTTTCATCCTAAAACCCGATAATATTTGGTCTTTATGGAAGACTATATCACAATAGGAAAAAAAAGATAAAACACTTCAAAACAAATCTTAAAATACTACTGAGGAGCTACAAAAAAATTTGAAGAATAATAAGTGATTTCAGCAAGGTCACAGGATTCAAAATCAACACTCAAATATCACCTATTTTCCTGTATATTAACAATAAACATGTGAAAAATGAAAATTTAAACAATATCATTTATAACTGTTCCAAAGAAAATTAAATAGGCCAGGTTCGGTGGTTCAGCCTGTAATCCCAGCACTTTGGGAGGCCAAGGTGAGTGGACTGCCTGAGCCCGAGGGTTCGAGACCAGCCCGGGTAACTTGGCGAGACCTCGTTTCCACAGCACATCAAAATAATTAGCTGGCGCAGTAGCACGTGTCTGTAGTTCCAGCTATTTGGAAGGCTGGGGTGGACGGATCACCAGCACCCAGCAGATCCACATTGAGATGGCCGTGAGGGTGCCACTGAACTCCACCTGGGGCTGAAGGAGTGAGATTCCAACTCAAAAAAAAAAAAAAAGAAAAAGAAAATTAAATAAGTAAATACTTAACAAAACAAACACAGGTTCTGTGTGCTAAAATTTATAAAATGCTAATGAAAGAAATTAAATATCTAACAAATATAAGAAGCTGAAGACTGTCTGAACCCGGAAGCTCTATACCAGCCTGAGCAACACAGTGAAACCCTGTCTTTAAAAAATTTTTTTTAATTAGTAGGGCATAGTGGTATGCACCTGTAGTCTCAGCCACTCGTGAGGCTGAAGCAAGATCACTTGAGCCCAGAATGTAGAGGCTGCAGTGAGCTATGATCATGCTATTGCACTCCAGTCTGGGCAACAAAGCAAGATCCCTGTCTCCAAAAACGAAAAATCTAAACAAATACCAACATACTATATTCATGGATTGGAAGACTCATAGTAAACTCTCTCCAAATTGCTCTGTAGGCTTAATGCAATTCTTAACAAGATCTCAGCAAGGATTTTGTGGATATAAACAAACTTATTTCAAAATTAATATGGAAGCCACAGTTCTAGAATAGCTACAGCAATTCTGAAAAATAATAAAGTAGGAAGAACCCCTTTACCTGAAAGAAGGTCTACTATACAGCCACAGTAGTCAAGACAGTGTGATATCAGCAGAATATACACATGGAGTGATGGAACAGAATAGAGAACCCAGTAATGACCCACACAAGTATGCCTGTTATTTTATAAATATGTCAAAGCAATTCAAGAAAGGAAGGATAGCCTTTTCAGTAAATGGTGCAAAAAAAAAAAAAAAGAACCTCAATCTAAACCTCATATAAATTAACTCATCAAAGTGAATCATGGACTTAAATGCAAAATGCAAAACTACAAAATTTTGCTTAAAAACATAGGGGAAAATCTAGAGTTAGGCAGAGATCTGAGAATTGACAACAAAAAGCACAATCCATAACAGGTAAAACTGATAAACTAACTTCACCAAAAGCCCTGTTAAGAAGTTGAAAAGTTGCCGGGCTCGGTGGCTCAGCCTGTAATCTCGCGCCTTTGGGAGGCTGAAGTGAGTGGATTGCCTGAGCCCACGGGTTCGAGACCCACCTGGGCAGCGAGACTTCATCTCTACAATAAATCAAAAAATCAGCCGGGCGTGGTAGCGCA